TAAAACCCTCCCTTGATACCCCATTGCAGCAGAGTTAAGTTCTAAACTTCTTTTACTGTGGTCTACAGCATAAGACCCTACACTTAACTGCTCTACTTGCTTCTTAGTTCTTTTCTGATCCTACCTTCTCTTCATTTATATCTAACCTCAGATATTACCTCCTCAGAAAGGTCTTGTTCACCTTCAGTTGCTATTATGTCATCTTATTTTCAGTATATGAAATCACTTATTACATGTTTAGTGTCTATTTTCCTTTGTCAGATGACAACCTGTGTTTTATTGGTGTATCTCCAAGCAACTAGAACAGAATGTGGCATTTAGTAAAGCAATCATTAAATATTTATCAACAATGGTGTGAAATAATCAGATACTTGAGGAACAGAATTGTTTTTAGTTTTTTTTTTTCTTTTTTTTTTTTTTGGTATTGGGGATTGAACTCGGGCATTCTACCACTGCGCCGCATCCCTAGCCCTATTTTTTATTTAAAAAAATGTGCGGGTTCAGGATGTGGCTCTTACATGGATGTGATGTGCAGTTTGACTTGATTATCATTTCTATACTTCATTCTTCTTTCCCATTTTTATTCACTTGTTTCTTTTCTTTCATTTTATTTTTGGTCCTGGGGATTGAACCCAGGGGTGCTTAACCACTGAACTATATCAGCAGCCCTTTTTTCTAATTTGAGACAGGGTCTTTCTAGTTGCTTGGGGCCTCTCTAATATTGCTGTGCTGGCCTTGAATTGACCATCCTACTGCTTTAGCCTTCTGAGTCCCTGGGGTTACAGGTGTGTGCCGTCTTGCCTGACTTCTTCCCATTTTTAATGTGTAATGATAATCAGTATGGAAAAGTAGAAAAACATAGACTTTGGAATTAGACCTAGGTTCAGATCTTAACTCAATCACTTCATCTTGGGTGACATACTATGTGAGGTACTTAAACTGTGATCCTTAATTTCTCATCAATAAGTAGAGATAGTAATGATCTTTCATAGGATTGTTATCTAAGTATAAGAAGATAATACATGTATTTTAGCATGCAACCTAGGACATAAAAAATTGAAATTATTTACTATGATAATTCAGATAAAAATAGTCTTAAAATCCTGAATATTCAAAATAAATTATGACAGAACCTTGTTTTGGGTACAGTGGTAGAATTTACATTCTTGGTTGGCAGAAGATATATTGGACTAGACTCCCTGAAGTGATAGTGAATGTTGCAAGTTCTCTGAAGAACTAGTAGAAAAAAATGTAAAATACTATGTTTATGATATCTCT